AGCTCAAGGCTAGCCCTCTACCACTTGAGCCACAGTGCCACTTCCAGCTTTTTCTGTTTATGTGGTGCTGAGGAATCGAACCCAGGGCCTCATGCTTGCAAGGCATGCACTCTACCGCTGAGCTACCTTCCCAGCCCATGAATGTACATATATTTTTAAAATAAACTGCCATCAGCATTTCCAGGGGCATTTTTCATGTTAAATACCTCACTCCTCTCTTGCCATCTAATTTTTCTGTAATTCTTTGATAACATTTTGTTACTTAGCTTGTTGATGGAATATATTACATTCATGTGATAGGATACATTACATTCATCACGGTTTTTTTTCTTTTGTGTGTTGAAATTTGCAACTAGGTTCTTACATGAGTAGCATGCGGTCTGCCACTTAATTACACACAGCCCTCCCCCTTTTCTTAAATTAGAATAGACTGGTAGCATAAAACTGATATACAAAGGCCCCTCATATGCATATGAAAAGAAAAACCAAAAGCCAAGAATATCGAGAAATTCTTACATACATAAATCTAAATAGAACCAAGACACAATTTCCAACGAAAATGGAAAGCTGACCTTAGAATTAGATATTTATTTATTATTTTTCCTATGGTCGGTCCTGGGGCTTGAACTCTGGGCCTGGGCGCTGTCCCATGAGCCACAGCGCCACTTCCCGTTTTCTGATGGTTCATTGGAAGTACGAGTCCTCTCCTGCCCGGGCTGGCTTTGAACCGCGATCCTCAGATCTCAGCCTCCTGGGCAGCTAGGATGACAGGCGCGAGCTTCCGGCGCTCCCTAACAGAGGGTGGGGAACGCGGAGGCGGGGCGCGGAGCCGCCCCGGGCCGGCGGGGAAAAGGCAGCCCCGCCCCGCCGGCGCGTGCGGGAGGCCCGCCGGCCTGGGGGAGGGGAGCCTGAGGCTGTGCGTACCGAGACGGAGAGGCCCGGGCCGGCTCCGCCGGTTCCGCCAGGCTCAACGCAGGGTCCCACTCACCATTTCCCGGACTGCAGGGCCGCCCGGGTCTTGGCCCCGGCGGCGCAGACAGCGGGCAGGAGTTCCACGGCAGGCCGAGTACGGCCCGCGACACAGCGGGACGTAAGCAGCAGCCAGGGCGAGGCGCAGCGCGCCGTCCTTCCCGACGCACGGGCCCCGATTGGTCGGACGGCCCTCCCGACGCGCCACCCCTCCGATGCGCGGGCCCCGATTGGACGGCCCTACCCCTGACGCAACGCGCCTCCGACGCGCGGGACCTGATTGGACGGCCGTCCCTCCCGACGCACCGCGCCTCCGACGCGCGGGCCCGGATTGGACGGCCCTCCCCAGACGCACCGTGACGCAACGCGCCTCCCGACGCGCGGGACCTGATTGGACGGCCGTCCCTCCCGACGCACCGCGCCTCCGACGCGCGGGCCCGGATTGGACGGCCCTCCCCAGACGCACCGCCTCTCCGACGCGCGGTCCCCGATTGGACGGCCGCCCGCCGTACCCTGTCAAGACCGAGAAGGCGGAGCCTGATCCGCGCCGGCGCTGGTCGGCCTCCCGCAATCCCAGCGTCGCTGTTCCCCGCCAGCCGGGCGGGACAGTCCGTGAGACGCACACCGGCACAAGGCAGGGAGCGGTGGCCCGAGTGGTAGAGCCCTGTGGTTTACGAATGAGCGGGTAAAACGCAGGCTTGAGGGGAACCCTTCCTCGGCATCGGCACCCCAGGCCTGACGGCGGAACCCCAGCGGGAGCGGGAGCGAGGAACGCCCGCTGCGGCCTTGGAGCACCGACGGCCGCGGGGAGCCGGCGTGGTCCACGGGGACGCCGCGTTCCGGGGACCGGGACGGAGCCCCGCGCGCGGCCGTGGGAGCCCCGCGCGCCCGCTGCTCGTGGCGCTCTCGGGATTCGAGCGAGTGGGAACGTGGGGCCCCTCTGCGCGCGATGGCTTCCCTGGAAGCACACAGAACGCTGCAGATGAAGTCTGTTCTGCCGCCTGCGGCTGCAGCGCCCGCAACTCCCAGAGCTGCTCCTGACTGCAGCCCCCGTTACTAGAAGCCAAGTAAAATGTCTGGGCACCAGGGACTCACATCTGTGACCCTAACTTCTCAGTGCGCTGAGTCTGAGGATTGGGGGAGAAAGCAGCCGGGCAGCACAGTCTCCAGCTAACCACGGAGAAAGCGGAACTGGAGCCCGGCCTCAAGTTCCAACCTTAAGGAGAACCGCCAAGGAGCCTCTGCAGGCCTGGAGTTCAAGCCTAGGACTGGCACGTAAAAAGGTAAAATGTGTTGATCTCATTGCAGAAATGAGAAACTCGCTTATTTAACACTGAATTGATTGTCTGAAGTACACCATTATGTCTTTGTTCATTTTTCGAGGTACTCATCCAATTATAAAAATTAAATAGGCTATCTTTGGTCCTCTTTTATTTTGGCACTTTGTTTGCATGATTCTACTTGTGGACTCTATATTACATTCCATTTACAGATGTGTACATTATTTCCCCAACATCACTCTTATATCCTATGGCTTAATAGTAAGTACTACAATGGGAAACTAACTTCTTCAACATGGTAACAATATATCATATATATCTTAGCGGGTTATGTTTGGCTGGCTGAAGATTTCTCTCCCCCGAACTAGAATATAAGCTTTATGAGAAATGAAACTTCATTGTGAAAAATTAGAGAAATTAGGGCTGCGTCCATTTTACAATTTGCTAACTGCTGATTCTGCTTCTGTAAACTTGCTTACGCTGGCACTGACCCTTCCCTTCCCAGAAAAGAAGTTTCAGGGATCAGATGCCAGCCCCAGGACAAGGTCAGTGGTCGTAGATAAAAAAAAAAAAACAGACAGTACGTGTTCTTCAGTTCCCATTTAGAAATTCCCCAGACAGGACCTTGAGATAACGACCACCTGGCAAGACCACAAGCTAAGCCAAATGTCAACCAATCATAGGCCTGTAACCAAGTAAACCCCCCTTAAACCAACCATGGGCCAGTCATTTTACAAAGAGTGTTACAAAATTTCCCGCATGGCAAAGTGATTGTTGGTGTATATGGTGACCTTTAAATGGACCAATCATGGGATGCTTTGTGTTATGCATTAATCTTGTGGTTTTGCCTTTAAATTAGCCTGTAATCTCTGCTCGGGGCTTCCTGTCTGCCCTGGACAGAGAGCCCGTTTGCGTAAACGCCAAATAAACTCCTCTTGCTTATTGCAGCTGCTGGTTTGGAGTCTTGGTTCTTGGGGTGCCCTCCCGTTGAAGAAAGTATCCCAGTGAGTGTGGGGTCTTTCAATTTTAACCTGGGACCCTTCCAGTCACCACCACCTTGAATCTCAAAGACCAAATTAAGCCATAATTAGCAAAAATTACAGTGTCTTTGGCATGTTTTAGGAAGGGAGGCCTCTCACAGTTCCTTAGATGTCTTTCTCCCATCTGGGCAAATTAACAGGAGAAGAATATCATTTATGATGAATGTAGGTACAGGGAGTCTGGGGGTTTTTTTAGAGGTATGAGTAAGGCTGTCAAGAGAATACAAAATCTTATGTTTTTCCCAAACCTCAAAACATTTCTTTCAAAGTAACTAGTCTTCCTAACATCCACTGCATGCAGTGAAGAAGGAAGATACAAAAGTCCACACAATGGATGTGCACTGGCCACCACAACTGAGAAATCCTCCAGTCATCTCTGTTATGCTAATTCTCCCTCACAGGGGAGCTGAGAACTTCCTTCCACACCCCAGGGACCAGGAAATCACCACCCTAGCTCAGTCCCCTCCTCTGATACATACCTTAGATCTTAAGAAACTTCTCCCCTTCAGGAGTGAAACGGGGTGCCCATAAAGCAAAGCCAACCCCAAATCCACCCTTCCTGTGGCAGAATCTAGAATTCTAGGGGACAGGGAGGTAGCAAGGAAGCAGCACTGTGAATTATAGAGGTTTCATGTCATCAGCACATGTTTTACTGCCTAACACTCCACTTGCAAAACACAAGTTAAAATTATTTCAAATTTCAGCTTGTTATTAAGCCACGTGTGGGCCACATCTGAGCCTAGGGTTCTGGGGAAGGATGGCCCTGTGTGACAAGGGGAGACTGACTTCTGCTTGACAAGGTCACACCATGGGAGATCATAGTGTCCCTCACTCTTTAACACAGAGCCCTCCCAGAGGGGTGCCCGCCATGCCCACAAATATTTTGCAGCTAAGGCTGCAGGCTTTCTTCCTGCAGGATTGGAAGTCAACCTTGCAATGGGCTGGGCTGAACACACTGAGGTAAGTGTCCTGCTCCCAGAGCCTACCAGTCAAGGTGCAGGAAGCATTTTCAGTACTGCAGCTAAAGCTGTAATTGGGAAAGGCACTCAGTGAGAAGGCTGGGAAAGAGGGTGTGTACTTCCTGGATGAGGCTGGGAAGCTGGACCCTCCAGGGCAAGTGCACTACTGGATGCCTGGCCTCTCCTGCTTGCCCTGTCCTGTCAAACATTCTTTCCCTGTGTATCTTTGTAGCGTGTCTTTGCTAGGGATGGTGGAAACACAAGAGTTTTATAACAAAGGCTAGGCAGCTGGGCACCAGTGACTAATGCCTGTAATCCTAGCTATGCAGTAGACTGAGATCTGAGGATCATGGTTCAAAGCCAGCCTGGCAGGAAAGTCCCAGAGAGACTCTGATCTCCAATTAATCACTAAAAAAAAAAAACTGGTAGAGTGTTAGCCTTGAGCACAATGAGGCTCAAGGACAGGGTCCAGGCCCTGAGTTCAGGACCCACAACCGACAAACAACAACAACAAAAAGGTAGGAGGTTGTTTGGACCTGAAATACCAACACTTGAGAGGCAGGAGAACCATGAGTCCTAAGACAGCCTTGGGACCTAGTGAGAAAGCCCAGGTGCAGTGGCGCTCCCCGCAGTACCAGACACTTGGACGGCCCGGACGGGAGCTGGGGTGGCCTGCGTCAAGCACGCCAGGAGGCTCAGGACCGTCGTAGAATGCGGGCCCTCGGCAAACAGGCCGCGTCTGAGCAGATCCACCGCAGCAAGAAAGGGCTGGGGCTGGCTCCAGGAGCAGGCCGCTGGCGGGTTAGCACCGGGCCTGGGCCCGAGGAAAGACCGAGGCCGACGGGGAGGGGCGGGGGAGCGGAGGGGGAGGGCGGGCCTCTTCCTTCCTTAGACTAGACGGTAGGTGACTGACAGACAGACAGACTGACACCGATGTCCTTAACGCCGCCAGTCCAGGGACACAGGCAACGTACCCGGAAGCGAGGAGGCGAAGCCGAACGGGTCCCGCGAGCCACAAGCCCCGCCGGACGCCGGCGAGGCGCAGGCCACTGACGTCACCGGGCCCCGCCGACTGAGTCCCGCGCACGCGCACGCGCGGCGCCCCGGCCGCAGCTTCGCGGCGCTCGGCGGCATGAGCCTGCGCGCGCTCCTCCGGCCCCGCGCGGCGGCGGCGGCCCTCGCGGGCCTCGCGGCGAGCCGGCGCTGGCTGGGCGCGAGCGCGCGCAACCGCGCGTTCGCCAAGGAGCTCTTCCTGGGCAAGATCGAGCAGGTGAGGCGGGCCGCCCGCGCCCTGCGCGCTGCCCGGCACCGGGCGCCTCGGCGGTGGGCCGCCCCGCGGGCTGCCGCTGTTGCTTTGTTGGGTCGGTCGGTCGTGGGCCTGGGCGCTGGCCCTCAGCCCCGCAGCTCAAGGCGAGCGCTCCGCCACTGAGCCGCAGCGCCGCTTCCGGCTTTTTCTGCTGGTGTGGTGCTGAGGAATCGAACCCAGGGCCTCGTGCGTGCGGGCGAGTGCAGCTCCGGACTTGTCCCGCGGTCTCTGGACGGAGCTCAGTGCTCTGGCACCTTCCGGGGACCGCTCGGGAGACTGCGCTTCCCCTGCCAGAAATCTGGCTCCACGGTTCTTCCCAACACTAACCCTTTCAGCCCCAGACCCATCCTGTGGCAGCCCTCAATAACAAAGCACTCCTCTTCTTAGAAGACACGGCTTCCCGTGGGTCTCTTCCCTGGGGCTGCTACGGAGACAAGTGAGAGACCGAGTGAGTAGGGTTTGGGCAACACCAGCAGCCTCAGTCAAACCACTTGGCTTTAATTTGTTTGGCTTCTGCGAATTGGCTTCTGCGATA